GATAGGTCACAAACTGTGTTACATATTTAGAGGTGAAGATAGAGATGAGGGTCTTACATTTCTGCAGACTACTACTCAGAGGCCACGGTGGAATCTGAGTATTGCCCCAAGTAGCTGCCTTGTTGGGAAGACACATCTGGGCTGTTGAGTCTCTTGGAGCTGGCACTTAAAACTGAGAATTGTGGAAGCTGTTCCAGTCCCAAATTCCTGAAAAACACTCTTGAATTCTTATGAAAAGGATGATGGCTTCTTTGTCTCTGCTACAGCTATGCTGTGGATTCCATGCAATACCAAGATATTCTCCTTCCCCTGCTTTTCCCAGAGTATTCATGCCTAACATGGTTGGTAGTATTGTATCTGTCTCCCAGATTACATAGGGTGCTCTGTTTTCTTGCTTATCTCAATATTTTACTAGCTGCAGCTGCTTAAGTTTCATTTTTGTACAAGAAAGATCATAACGTTGTCACATTTGCCCATACTAACAACTCAAAGGATGCCTAAGTGTAGTATTAGGGATGTGCTGTGCTCTGGTCCATCTCTACACAGCCTGGGAGATCTTGCTGTCTAATTTTTTTTTAACGTTCTGATGAATGGAATACTCAGATTTTGAAAGTGTACTTGTCATTTTTAAACTGTATATTAGCCTGCAGACCAACTGTTTGCAAGTTGCATTAGAATGTAGTTTGTACAATTATACCCAGTCATTGTGTGTATGATTATACCAACAAAATGAATCTGCACATGAGATCTAGTGTTTTCCTGAATGCTAGGGTTGTGGGTTCTTTTAAAGTATATTCACGTTTTTCTGTAACCTAGCATTAGTATTCCTTTAGGCAAAGAATATAAAAACCTGTTCTGGATGAGGGTATGGGCTGTGTGTCCAAGGAAATGAGGGTAGTAAAAGGTAATATGCATTGCTGCTGTTAGGAAACAAGGGGCCTTTCTGTCTTTTTCTTCCAGCTCTGTTTAACGTTCCCTTCTGCTGCTGCAGTATGTACTGAAGGGTGCGGGGTTTCCTTGGTTGCAGAAACATGACTGTGTTCCTGGGTGAAAGATTTTTGGCCTGTGTTTTGTCCAGACTTGTCCCAGATCGCTGGGGCACTGTGACTTTGAAAGAAGGGCTGTATTACTTGGTGCATTGTCACTGTCTTGGTGGTTTTTATAATGTCAGCACTGAAGTGTTGAGTGTCCGTGTTAAATGTCACAGCTGTGTTTGCAGGAACACGATGCTGCCGTAGATGTGACCAGGGAGAGAAATGAGTCAAAATGTGGGTGCCCGTTAAGAGGCTGTTCATTGATAAGGGTGATTAGCACTTAGTTTCTATTTAGGGCCAGTAGTACAGGGGTAGGGAGGCTGAGTCAAGCCCTTAGGGGAGATGAGGTTACACAGATTAAGATGAGAATGAAATGAAATACACTTGACGTTAAGTCGAGTGTAATCTAAAACTGGTTAGTAGTATTTGTGGCAGATAACTTGTTAGTGCACACAGAATAAAGGAAATTTAATCCAAATGTGTATCTAAAATCTAGGTTTTTGGACAAAAATGAATGTAGGTGTTCAGAGTGACTACTTAAAAGTGACGTAAAAGTAATTTTTGCAACCTTTTTTGTGTGATGACCATATATAACAACTGGGTTTATAGCTATGAAGTAGTTCTATGTGGATTATATGGGTCACGTGCAGAGACTGAAAATACTGCCTTATTTTACTGTAAGATGATTTTTTTTGTGATTTTTGTGCTGTTTGAAGCATTGAATGTCTCTTAGAAGCATGTGTGTATGGTCTGCTACTCACTGCTTTTCTGTTGCCCAGCAGTTGGAAGCAGTTAGAATTGAGTGGTTTTGAACAGAACTTGTGCAACCCTGTTTATGTTAATTAAAAGAAAGCTATTAGATGGGTAAGGCAGCTCAAATGGAAGCACTAATTACATATTAACCCCCCCAACACCTAAGCAGACAGGAATACTCAAACGTTGGCGGAGTGTTTCTGCAAACGTGTTATATTGAAAGTTTTGCAAATATCTTTCTGAAGGAGTGAGAAGGGGTGGTAGTGCTGATTTCTGCAGCGTGAAATAGTTGCAGGATTGAATGCTTTTGACATCTGCAGATTAAATTTGTGAGACTTAAGGATTTAGCATCTTCCTAGGAATTGTAAAGGCACGTGAGTGATTGACATTCATAGACACCGATAAGAACCTGATTTCTGAGATAATTTCAAATCTGTTTTCAAAGTTTCCCCTGGGGGGCTTGTGCACTTCTGAAAATCGGCGTTTCATCTGGAAATGAAGTTTGTCCATGCCCCAAGATACTCTGTGAACCTCTTAGGGAAAGTTAATGATCTAAGTGAATACAGAATGGTTTAGATATTAGCATGGCTGAATTGTATCGAGAAAACACATTACCTGTGAGCAAAGGAAGAAGGGTTACTGCCTGGAGGAGGACAGCAGGAGTATAAGTAAACCCTGCGTGGTTTTGCAGCCTCCTTTTAATTGAAAAGAAAATGCGAAAACAAGTGACTTAAATTCATTACTCAGATTTGACAAATAGGTCACTGGTTGTTGCTAAATAACTGTTAGAAACAATAACTCTAAAATTCTTGGCTTTAAGGATATCTTGAAATGGTTTTTTTTAAGTGCAAATTGCATATGGATCCAATTTACGTCAGTCGGTGGATCTGACTGGTGCGACCAGTGCGTTGGTAATGCACTGGTGAACTGAGAACACTGAATGGCACAAGGAGACTGTCTTCTCTGTGATATCTACTGCTTATTCTGGTAATAGCTTGGAGTCCTGGCAACCTCTGATAGCCAGCTGTTGGTAGGTAATGCAATAGTATTGTCCAGGAATGCTTTTTCATGGTCTGTCTTCTGGCCAAAAGGTTGCTTTCTGTCTCTAGTGGGTGTTATGTTTTTGTTGATGTGAGATTACAGGAAACTTGCTCAATCATGAGTTTCTGCTTTTAATCAAAGAAACACCAACTCATTCACTTGATTATTTACAGTTACACGTACATACTGTATGTTAGAGGGGTTTGATGCTCTACCCCCTGTATGGAGGGCTAATGCCATCTGTTACCAGTGGGCTGAATACATAGGAATGATGGAAGATTATTGTTGTGTACAGCATGCTTTAAATGATCTGATTTTATCCTCAAACACTGAAATGTTCAAAACAGTACATGCCCTTTCCAGCTCAAGGCAATGACTAAATTTATTAAGAGTAAGAGAAGAGGAGACAGGAGGAGGAGTTAATCTACAAACTTGAAATTCTTAACTCCAAGAGCAATGGGATTGTAAGGAACAATATATTGTAAAAAGACTGTAATAGAATGTGCTCAAGATAGCATATTTTAAAAACAATTGTGAGCTAAATGGCATTTAAGAAAGCTGCTTCTTGTGTGTACTCAAGTGTTTTTCAAGTTGCTGCTTCTCTGAATAAGAAAATTAAGCAAAGCTTTCTGATGTACCTTTTCTCTTTCATTAGGATCGGAAGCTGTCCAAGTCAGAGCGACAACGATTTAAAGAGGAAGCTGGGATGCTGAAAGGGCTTCAGCATCCCAATATTGTCAGGTTCTATGATTCCTGGGAGTCTACAGTCAAAGGAAAAAAGTGTATTGTTCTTGTGACGGAACTAATGACGTCTGGAACACTGAAAACGTAAGTAAATTAAGACATGTCAAAGTATTTAAGCTTCATTAGCACAGAATCAGAGCCCTAGAAATAGATGATATTTCAGAATACGTAAGAATAGAGCCCTTTTGCTGAGGGCTAATGTCCTGTAGGAACATTCTTATTGAAGAGGCTTCTCACATTCTTCCTTGTGATGTTCTAGTAAGCACATACAGGAAACTTTGGGATTTTAAGACCTCAGGAAGACAATACTCTCTTTTCACTTCTCAGAATTTTTCTTTTTCCTCTCCAACTGCCTTCCATTTAGCATGAGGTGGTTTGTAAAGTTCAAAGTACAAATTAATGCATCTCTTTTGGGAGGCTTTGGGTGTTAGAGCAGTACAAGTAAAATGTAAAAAGGAAAAAAAAATCACCTATTTGTTTAGCTGAAGCTTGGTGAAGCAGTACCTAACAAAAATCAAAGTATGCCTGCAGCTCCAGCCTGTGAGGCAGCTGAGTGACCCTGGGTGTGTCTCTAAGGCAGAGTTAAAAGCAGAGTGCAGGAAATGGAGCTGCTGCGAGGGCCTCTAGTGGTGCGCGGGGCCCGCGGGGGCTCACAGAGAACTCACACCGCCGGCACCCAGTCACTGTCCTTGCTGGAAATAGAACTGCCAGCCTTTGGGATAAACGGGTTGTGGGTCGCTGTCTTCTTTCAGTGCCCATTTAAGTCTTGGAGAGGCATTCAAATCCTAAATGTGTAAGCGGGCTGTGGGAGCTGGAAACAATTTGCCATCTATTTGGTTAAAATAGCCCATGAATGTCTTGTGTTTTTATGATGCTTATTGATAGCCACAAATGGACATTCTTAAAGAGGAAAAAAAAAATGGCTCTTTGGGAGTCTGGACTGCAATTACAGGGAAGTGTTTGTCTCTTAAAATAGTACTGGAGGACTAAGGATACCACAACATTCTTTGTCCTTATGTTCAGTGAAGATATTTGGAAGGTTGTTTAGGGTATTTCAGATAAAATAATAGATCTGTTGCTTCATGTGCTGTTTTCAGAGCAGTAAAAAAGTAAGCAGCTCTGTAAAGTTGCCTTTAAATAAAGATACTTAATTTTATGCCGAACGTGTAGTGTTAGATTTATCCTTTATCCCCCTCACGGATTTTAATATTTGGATTGGCTTGTTATGTGGTGGCATAAACAAGATGATAAAGTAGTAATAGGCAATTATGAAGTAGGGTGTTGGTAGGATGAAACACCTCAGATTTGCTGTCTCTAGGATTATTTTGTGCTTTGAAGTATGAAAGTATTTTTATTTTATCTAGAAAGAAGTAACAGGTTGTTTAATCAAAGATCTTTGAAACTGTAGTTCTGGGTGGGTTTTTTTCCCCACTCTTGCATAGCTTGTGTTATAATTGTGATTTAGTTTATGCTTGCCCACTTCACTTGAGATTTGACAGGTAAACTATATATATGGGAAATTTCTGGTGTGCCAAATTTGATATCATTGAGTATTTCACGTGTTTGTGTCACATTCCTAAATCTACACTGCACACTTGTGTTAGCTTATGATATTTGGCTGACTGAGTATTACTTCCATATCTTTTTTTTTTTGTCAGTGTTTTTACATTACCTGCATTTTATAAAAGTGTTACTTTCCTCATTTTGAGACTTGGGACATAGACATTGTTGTCACTTGATGTAAAAAAGTGAAGTGTGGTAGTATCTTAAAGTAAATTTTCTCTCATGGTTTTTTATATTTGTATGCATTGATACATAAATACCCAGAAATAATGTTAAAATTTTGTGGACTCCTTCTTTTCAGATGCTGTCTGGGCAATTTTCTAATTTTGCACAAGGGAAAGTCCCTGAACTTCTGTATATGAATGGAAAAGTTTTACAACTGAATTTTTGTAAAGAATAAGGCTGCTTTCTGATATTGTATGCTATCGTGGAATTAAAATATTGGGAAAAATGGAGTTGTCTATTTGAAATTTTAATTATGCTGTTAATGAAGACAACAGTGGTTAGTCTGACTTAGGTCTCAACCATTGGTTTTGTCTAAGGTCTGGGTAAAAGTGTGTCTAGTGTGTGTTCCTGATCCACTTTAAATGAATGTGTTAGCTCTCTGGTAGGGCACATACCTTCCTAACTACCTCTGCTAATTCAGTAGGGATTCCTATAGCTCCTTGAGCTGAGATGCTGTAGGTAATTGTAATTGCAGAAGCTTAGACTAGAAACCTTTTGAGATCTCTTCAAGCCTGAGTTGTCCAGTGATACTAGGAAAATTGAAAACATACTGGCTAGGAGGGTTGTCTGTGTATCTTTATGTATTTATATGTGCTTCTGTTTTAGATTGGTTTCTGCCTTAAGTGACATGTGACTGAGTTCAGGACAGCGTTGTGGAAAACTGATGGCAGCACTGTGGGATTCTGGGTGATGGTTGGACCCAGGTCCTTTAACAGTGAGGAGCTGGCAGTAGGCAAGCATATTTGAAACCAAGACTGTAATTAGGGATTCCAGATGCTGAACTGAAGTGCCCCTACCATGTGATCTTTGGATCAGGCTCAAGAGAGATGAATGAGGGTTGTGTCAATAGCAAGAATTCAAGTGGTAGCTGATGTGATTCAGAACCTCCTTCAGTTTGTCTTCTTCCTTGGCTTGGCTTTTTCCCTGCCTGTCTTTATATTCTAAGATTTGATTTCCTCTGGAACTGTGTCCCACTTGCTTTTACAGATCTATTTTCACAGCAGGATTACTGCTAGCAACTTGATTTTTCCAGATCTTCTTTTGAACTGGAGAAATGAAAGTAAAAGGGATTAATACACTGCATTTTTATGTTGGCAGTGATTCAAGTGATTTCATCCAGACTATCTCCTGATTAAGTGGATATGCAGAGTAAACTGAACAGTACCACAGAATAATTGAACATGACTTGCTGTTAGTTGAAGACTGTAGTTGCTAGACTCCATGCTGGTCACAGAATTTACTACCAGTCTTGCAATACTGTGAAACTGGTCTTTATCTGAGACTTTGACTGAGTAACATTGGCTGAATAAGAATAAAGTCCTTGCTCTACAGAGCATGCTACTTCCTTTCTCCTGAATGTATTTCAGCCTGTACTTCTTCAAAAGGAAGAAAACAGCTCTTCACTTCAAATTGTGTTACCCAAAGAGAGGTTGTGAGAAAACACTGCTGGAAAGCACTTGAATGCTGTCATAAGGTTATTCACCTTGTGGCATCTCTAATCTGTTGAAGTTAAGTAATAGAATAAGATCACAGTCTTAGGTTACAGGCATTGGAAAATATTTTTGGTATGAAATTTGACTCTTCTGAAATGGGATTTCAAAGTGTGGCAAGATAGAACTGTTAAGGTGTTGGGTCATGTTCTAACTGTGAGGGAGTACTGACTTTGTGTGAACTCTTCCACCTCAATTATTTGGCAGAGCCTTTTTAAAGATTTCTCTGCCCTGTCCATGGCTGTCTGTAGTTTTGAAGTAGTGAACAGTACCAATCAGATTCAGGTGGTCAAACCCTGTCCTGCACCAGGGAAGCAATCTCCAAGAATTTCCCATTTGCTTGACAACTCCACAAGTAAATTTGAAGCAGATTTAAAGTGTAATATGGAAACCTTGACCGGAGTGCTTGGACTGCTGCTGAGAAGGAAGGAATAATGACTTCAGAGCTCTTGCAGCTTGCCCCAACTCTGTACTTAGTTGTTGTTATTAGTGTTTTGCATCTAATGACCCACCTCCCCACCCAGTTATAATAAATCAAGGTAAAGGTTGTAACTGTTTAGGCAATTAAATAGATAAAGTATTGCTGTAAGTCATGAATCTTGAATTCTCTGTCATGGAAGCAATGCCTTGAAACTTAGCAAGCCAACTGTCTAATTACCATAGGATGATTTTGTATGCAGATGAGTTGTTAGCTATATGTTAAGCTTTTCACATTTATCTTTAATCATTAGTCCCCTGTCTAGAAGAAAAGGAGGTGGGTTTTAGGAGGAGGAATCATCTTTAGCTCCTCTGAAGTCTTGAAATGCCCAGGTAGATTTTAAAATGGAAGGTGATATTTAAATTTGTGCATGTGTTTAATTACTGTTTCTTTGTTTCCAAACACCAAAGGGTATAGTTTAATCTACTACCTGTTAGCAGAATCTACTAAGATGGTAACCTATTGTTACTTTTTTCCTTAGGTATTTGAAAAGATTTAAAGTGATGAAAATTAAAGTACTACGAAGCTGGTGCCGTCAGATACTGAAAGGCTTACAGTTTCTACACACACGCACTCCTCCCATTATTCATAGAGACTTAAAATGTGACAACATCTTCATTACTGGCCCCACTGGATCAGTCAAGATTGGAGACCTCGGTCTGGCAACCCTGAAACGAGCTTCTTTTGCCAAAAGTGTGATAGGTAAGCCTCTCCTGTATTGGAGGCTGCTGAGCCTTTTAAGAGCTTTCCATAAAAATATGGTTGCAAAGGTACAGGGTCAAAGCCAAAAAATGTGTAGGCTTTGTTTCTTGGTTGCTGAGGTCATTCTGTGTCCCTGATGTGACTACATGTTGAAATTTTGGTTGTGCTTTTGATATTTGTATATTAACATTAAGTATTTTGGAATACAGCATCCTTGTCCTGCCCAACAGTTTAGTGCAACATTGTTGATAAAACCACTCTTGACTACTTATAAATCTTAGCTTTGATATGATGATGCTTCAAGAAGTGTACAAATGCATTTTGGTGACCAAACAACATTTCGATATTCAGTGTAGCACTAGTTTTTAGAGCCAAATTTTTTTTTTTTTTGTTGTCACCAGGGGTTCATATTAAACCTCTTACAGATTGTGAATAATCAGAAACAAGGGTCTTTCTTGTGAATTCTTAAAAGAATTGGTTTTATCAGCTTTGTTTTTATAGTTGGGTGAATAGACTGCAGGGAATGAAGTTGTTCTCACTCTCAATATTTAGAGCTTGCGAAAATGCAGCATTACTCAACAGTCCTATGCCAGATTCCTAGATGGGATCAATGGTCTATACCTGTAAATTGTCCTGCAAGCTGTCGCTGAAATATTTCCTGCTTCTTAACCAGGTCAAAATATGAACAGGAAAGCGAAGTATAGTTTAAAAAAAATAGTAATTTGTGAAGCATACTTGTCATATTCTCAAATTTATCATTGGAAAAATTACCATCTAGTTATCTATTAATGGTTAGCCTTTGGATAAATGGCTGCAATTACATTCTCTTTTTTTGGTTTAGTGTGGTGAAAATAAGCAACGTGGCTATAGAATGATCTGTAAATTGTCTTGAATCTGGTGTCTGCAGGAAATAATTCTGTGCTTAAATTTACAGAAAGCAAACTTACATCTCTGGCTTAAAGTAAATCTGATCAAACAATGCAGCCTCTTTGTTTACAGAGGGGTTGCTGTGATGCTTCACTGGGCAATAATTTTCTGCACACTATTTAAATGGGACTTGTTGAATCTCACGCTCTATGCCTGTAACTCAATCTCTCTGTATTTCTGAGTATTTTTGACTGTAGGATGTCCCTCACTAATGCCTGTATCTGCAGTAGGCCTATAAATATACTGCAGGTGGGAAGGTAAGTATATGAAGAAAAGGGCTCTGGTGAGTGGCCTTTGCAGAAAATTACCTTTTATCCTCTTTTCATGGAGATTTATATTTGTAACAACAGAGTTTTCCATTGCAAGGCCTTACCTGAACCATTGTACTTCAAAAAGTAGATGGAGAGCACCAGGTCAGAGACTAGCTGTGGGCTCTTACCAGTACTACTTCTTTTGCAGCAGAGGGCAGTCGGGTAATTTTTGAAACAAGGTTTAATGTGCCTCCTTTCTTACAGGGAGAAAAGGTAAGTGTCTTAACTCTCCTTAGTATTTGGTTTGCAGCCTATGGCTAGTCTACAGTTTTTCCCTTTTCTTATCCCCTACCCTCCCATTTGATTTCAGGCTAGTCCAGTCTGTTTAGATACTTGTATCAACTCACGTACCTAAACCAGGACTTGCGTCAGTCCTTTCACGCCATTCTTATTCCACAAAGGCCTTGCAATGGAAGACTCACAGAGTGTGTTGATGCAACAGAGTCACTAAGGGTTTCCTCCCTCTTCTTTTTGCCTCCACTTTCTCTTGTCTCACAGGTCTGCCCATCCGCTCCCTCCTGCGGTGAGTAACGCCAGCAGCCTCTGCTCGCTTTGAGACATTTAGAGTCTGAATCGTTCTTTTAATTTAAGGTACCCCAGAGTTCATGGCCCCCGAGATGTATGAGGAGAAATATGATGAATCCGTTGATGTATATGCTTTTGGGATGTGTATGCTAGAGATGGCCACGTCTGAGTATCCTTATTCCGAGTGCCAAAATGCTGCGCAGATCTACCGCCGAGTGACCAGTGTAAGTCCCTCCTCGCTACTGAGTCTAAAGCTACTGCTGTCAGCAGCAAAAGAGCACAGCTGGGTAGCACCAGTACTGTGCAAGTGTGTATAGGGGGAAAAAAACAAAAGCTGACTAGAGGTTTTTTTGGGATGGGTGGGAAGTTACAGCGTGGTTGAACTCACCAAACATCTGTCAGAAGGCTGTGTAAAATATGTGAGCGCAAATAAAATTTTGCATCTGTTCATACTCTTCTTTCAGTATAGTGGAAGGTATTACATAGGGTTTAAAAAAAAATACAAAAACCCAGCAACCCAAACCAAACAACAAAACACATTAGAATAATAAGAGATTATTTTCTAAGCCATTGGGGAGATGGTGGAACTATTTCAGTCTTGAAGATTAGCTGGTAACTGTTCTCTGTAATAAAGCTGGATCACAGATTCAGAGCAGTTTGGCTTAGCTGCCTGCCAGGGCAGATCATAAATTGTTACCCAGAGTGATTTTTATAATTTGAATTCTGAGTGGCCCTCAGCAACTCAGTGTGTTGTGGGTTCTTCTTATAACAATGCAGGGGAAAAACTAGATAAATAGCAGAAGGTAAGTGCTGGTAAGTGTAGTGGTGGTGCTGGAGGCATTGTGGGTGAAACCAAATAAGGCTGAGAAGGCAAGCAAGGAATTTGAGTTGGCCCCTCTGACTAAGCTAAGGGGAACCTACAGACCTTGAATATAGGAAGCAGAACTATAGTGCTAGAAATGTGCAGTATGGTTGTGGCTAGATTTACTTTGTGCTCTCCACAGCAGTGTTGTGAGGACTATTCCAGTGCAGTAAAACAAACATGTTGAACCTTCTGATCTGAGCATTCAAGTAGTGAGGTGGCTGCTTGGGGAAGGAAAAACTTGCACTGGATTTCTCAGAATACCTGTGCGTGTGTGTGTGAAGGAAGGAAAAAAAAACCCAGACTTACCTCTTTCTCTGTTACACAAATGAATTCCTCTTAAGTCTTTTTGTGTGTATTAACTTGGAGAAGTTGCAGATTTAAAAAAGAACTTGTTTGGCTTCGGAAAAATAAAGTTCTTTCTTATTCCTGATGCCTCACACTATAAAAGGCAAATATAATTACTGACAGCTGTGGAAGGAAGGGTCTTCACATTGGAAGTAATAAATTCTGCAGGTGAAATAGAAGACTGTCCCTTGTCTGAAGGGAAATACTGGAGGAGCACAAAAGGAGGAAGAAATAAGGCATAAATAGTAATTTTGGGTTTTTTATATACATAAGTAAGTTTTTATATACATATACACACACAGAGGGGTTTGTTTTTGTTAGGATTTTTTGTTGGTGTGTTTTTGTTTGGGTTTTTTTTTGATGTTGGTGGATTTATCTGTAATTTTTTAAATAGACATGAAGAATTAGGCTGAAGTCTAGCTTTTACTCAGCTTACAGCATAATCTGATCTGAAGGTGGTTTGGATCAGTGAAAGCAAACTGGAGTATCTTACCAAAACAGTCTTAGTGGTACCTTTTACTTTGCTTACAGATGTACATTGGCCAGAGGCAAAGCAGTGTAATTTGGATGGGCACTTTTTCTCAGAATTGATGCCTGATGTAACTGTCCTGCCCATTCCTTAAAAAGTGCTAGGAGCTAGGCTGTTGGTGAGAATCAGCTGTTGAGATGATCTCAGCTTGGAAATTCCCAAGTCTTTTCCCTGGTCTTTGAAGTACTTAGCAATTGGAAAGCTTTGTAGAGGCTTGTAGCAGAAAAAGTTGTGTAGAGTCTTACCAGGGTTCAACTTACCAATTGTTTATTTTGCTTGATGCTCCTTTCTCCCCATTGTTTTTGGTTGACTGTTGAAATTCTAAGTGGATGAGAAACACTGGTAGTTTTTTGGCCTGTCTAACACCACTTTCTATTGTCTTCTGCTGCTGATGGTTCACAGATTGAATTTAATTGTTGACTTTTTTCCTGCTGTTTCATTTGCTGCTTGAAAGCTTCTAAGATTTACTTAGGGGGGAAGGACAGGAAGGTAGAGAAAATGAAATGTACATTTATGTGCTTCTAGGCAGAGGATGAAAGGCCCTGTGCTTTGATATATTTGGGTTTGTTTATTCCGTTGTAGTTGCAAAGCAGTTTGTTTAAAACAAAACAAAATCAACCACAAACAAAACTTGAATAACTTTCAAGGAACGCTTTCAATGAAGGAAAAGACAGTATCATCTGAAATTCAAACACAAACCTGTCTTAACTATAATGGAGAATTCAGTGTTCTATAATGTGGAAAGCAGACTGTGTCATGAATGTGAGATAAAATACTCTTGGCGTTCTTTTTACCGCTCTGTGAACCAAGGTAAAAAAGAGCCATATAGTTTTCTGCACTTGTCCTTTGCTCCCTGTTAAAGAATATAAGATTTTCTTTCATTTCAAAGCAGACTTCAGAAGTTTAGACCATGTCTACAGTTGCAGGTGAAGGGTGAACCAGTTGAGAAATTTAGTACTTGAAAGGACGGTGTGTGAACTAACAACAAAGTAGAGCCAGAAAACACCTACGTAGGGGAATCCAGCACTGCTTACAAACACATTTCATTCTAATGTACTTTGGAAGGTGAATGTGGTTTCTGGAAGATGTTTAGCATCTCCTTTTCAACCTCTTCATTTGCTACTTTCCTAGGCATGTTTAGGGATGTTTTGAGGTGACGGCTATAGTCCTGCTGTGCCTGAAGTTGTAAGGCTTATTTTATCTGGATGCATACACAGAGATCAGAGGGAAGAACAATAAGAATGGTCTACTGTTGAAAGTCACGGAAGATCATGCCATATGGGAGCTTAAAAACCACTGAAACCCCAAAGGCAATCAGATTAAAATGTGCAGCAGGCGATAAATATTTAAATTAATTGATTTATCTCTCCCTCTTTGTAGTAACTGTTACGCTTAGTAAAAAGCAGAGTTGCTCTATTAGCTTAAGTCCTTGCTATTGCTTAGGACAGGATCATGTAAAAGGTGTCTCAATGCCTAGGATGTCCTCTCAGAACTGGACTTGCTAATCCCAATTTATATTCTTATCTCACATTTTGGCTGTGCGTTGGTCTCTTTTTTTAGGGGGTACCTTTAACTGCATTGCATTTTAACCTTACACCTTTTGTGATTTCTCTGGCTGATGCCCAGATACTGCAGCATTGGGTTGGGGTGTTTGCTAGGATTTCTCAGAGTACTGGGTTGTGTTCTACCTCTTTGGTTCAGGGTCTTCCCTCAGAATTGGAAGGAGATTTTTGTTTAAATAATACGGTTTGATAAGCAAAGATCTAGAATTCTGATCTAAAGACAGAAGTTCCTTCCAGAGATGAGACATTTTTTGGCCCAGGCACTTATTGTTGCTTCACATCTTGGATGATAGCACTGCTGCATGAGTCTGCTGTTTGCAAGATGCTTGTCTGTACTGCCTACATTGTCTCACTGTGAAGTTTCTGTTTTCCTTTAAAGTAGTGCTAGGATAAAGTTCCTAAATTATCTCTGGTCCAAGAAACAGAAGTGCAATTAAATTGGCATTCTTTCTCTCTTTATCTAGAAGAATTTTTCTTTTCAATAGAATAATGTGGGTAAGTACCTGGCTTAAAAAAAACAACTGTCCAGAATTTGTGAGGCTCAAGGTGTTTTCCTGAACCTTGTTTTACAGTTCTGGTAAGGAAGTCAGCAGTTTGACACAGAATATTGACCTCTGTACTTGCATCCTCTTGCATACTCAGTCCAGACCCTTTTACTAGGAGTTCCTTTAGAAAGGAAAGAGATCTGCATGTCTTGTCTCTCATCCAAAAAGTAAAGGAGACACTTTTTTTTTTTTTTTTCATTAAATCATAATGTTGCAGTTTTGTCTCAAACCCCTCTATTTTCTTCATTGAGGCAATCCTCTGATGTTCATTGGAAATGGTTCCAAATAAATTAGTAGTGTGTGCTTAAAGAAATTGCAGCTCTTGGGATTTTTACCTTACTGGGGGGTGGGGAAATCTCTGAGGTTTAGGTGGTATGTCTCTTTAGCTGGGACTGAATCCATCCAGCAGGCACTTACTGCTGCCTATTTGGCCTCAGAAAAAAATAATCTGAGCCTGCAAAAAATTGACAAGAAGCTGCTCTATTTTTAAGGTAGTCTTGCCTGCTCCTGTGATTTATTTTTGCTCCTCTGCCCTCTTGTGCAGGCACACCTGTCTGTGTGATACGCTACCAGATTTGGGAATGAATCCCCTCTTTTTCTTTTTTAACGATTCTACCCCATATCAAAGCAATACAGACATTTCCAACACAAAATGTAATCAAGATACATAATTCTGTTATGTAGTTGCTTGCAAAAAAAAGTACTGTAAGATCTTGGTAAAATTTGGGAATATTTCCCTGTCTAACTTTGTTCCTCTCTGGAGACTGGACTGGTATTTTTTTTTTTCTACCTGCTCCATGCATATTTCAATTAAACAGTTTGTCACAGGAGATATTTAAAATGGGCTACATGTGCATTTAAATGGAAACATATATTTATAGAACAGACATCCTAAGTATGATTTCTTAATTTAGTCTGTTTGGAAAGCAATGCAGCGAAGGCATAACTAACTGCAGTAACTTCAGCTGCTTTGCCTCAGCCTCTGGTGAGACTGCTCAAATACAAGCTGTTGCCTCAAAAGCTAGTTTGTTTTTTTCCTTGTTTGTGTTGTAGTTACCACTCACAGATGTAGTATAGATCTCTTTTTACTTTTACACTGTATTTCCTTTAAACTTGCTTTGTGCCATGCAGAGATTTTTATAAGCATGTAGAGGTACTGACTACTCAATCTTTAACACTTGGATGTCCCAAGGCTCAAATTTTCTAGGTGCTTGACTAGTCCCAGGACTAGTGAAAAGACGGTTAATGGGTGTATAAGTGTCTTTAATGGGTTTATTATACAGATTTCTCTCCTTCGTCCATATCTACCACTAACATAAAAATCCAAACACCCATTGCAAAAAAGTTAGTAAGACAGTGCTCAGTTTCAAATGTACTCATCAGTTGAGTGTGAGCAGAAAACCCCCTTTCTTTCTTCCCCTCCCATTGTATAAACTTACCTCTTAAGTCCTCCTGGCAGACTTGTGCTCTATACTTGATTTTTCTCCACGCTTACTTTGACCAGGTGAACTTTTGCACTTGTCCTTTATTTCACCAGAAGTCCAATCTCTTCTCTCTAAACCAGTGTCTACTGTCTGAGCTGGCTGTAAGATGAGAACAGGGGGGAAAAAGGCATTTTGCATTTTGACTTTAAATGAAGAAAAAAAAAAAGGTAGTTCTGTACTGAAATGTTCCACAGAGTGGACATAACAGTTTTCTTCTCTGTTCTCCAGAGCTTGAAAAAGAGCCTAAGGGAACAAGGTACATAATGAGTAACCTGGCCAGGCAGTGTCTGACTGGTTTAAAAATCCCTAATTTCCCTAACTGGTGGGAACTGGAACTCACTGGTTAGAGTGAAGGTCATTCTCTTTGCTGCAAACCAGACAGTTACAAAGTGCTGTTGTTTGGTCAGTTGAGATAAAATTAATCTCTTCTTTAGTGTCTTAAAAGTTAGGCATCACAACTGTCTAGACTAGTCAACTGCTTCATTTTCACTAGAGATGCAATAGGCAAAGTATTCCATGTTATTTTCTTTTTCTTCTTTAGGGGTCCTAGGCAGATAAGTGCTAAACCTTTAGATATATGATTAATTTTACATGCAGTTCTTAATGAGTGATGATCAAGTGTCCTCTTTTGTTTCCTGAAAGCAATATGCAACTTTTTTAGGCATGAATAAAACCCTGTTTCTTCACATTGAATAACTTGGTTTCTTGACCTGATTTAGGTTGATACAGAGGCATCCCTCATATGAAGCTTTCTAGTGCAAAAAGCACTGGAATAAAAAAAAAAGGAAAAGTAGAGGAGGAAGCCCTCTAACAGAGCAGGTAGTCTTTTGTTAAAGCAGGTACTGAAAGGCCACAAACCTCTAACCAGGGAACACATTATTGTAAGAAAGGGCAAACTCTTGTGTTCATTGAAAGAAGAAACTTCAGGTGCTTAAATATCAAATACAGGGAAAAAAAAAGGCACATCAGATGCAATTGCTTTGAATCATACTGAAGAGACTAAAGAAATCGTCTACCACTTGCCTCTTGTAGCTGTTCAACTCAGTTGCAAGCATTTTGCTGGAACAGCTTTAAGAGTGAAGAATCTTCCTGCATGGAGATTGTCACTGACCTCCTGTCAATTGAGAAATATATAACTTTAAAAATGGAAGATGGGAATTCAAGGTTTTGAAGCATTAATATTTTAGGCAGCTTTGTGTGTCACTTTAGAAGTCCTCTTTAAGAAATTACAACGATCTAAGTAAGGAAAAGCAGCAATCAACCTGAACACTGAGGTATAACATGCTGCATGTCAGGTGACAACCATGAATAAGGACCTGGAGCATCTCTTGTGAGGAAAGGCTGAGGGGTTTGGGTCTGTTTGGCCTCAAAGAGGTGACTGAGAGGAGACCTCATCAATGTCTATAAGTACCTGAAGGGAGGATGTCAGGAGGATGGAGCCTGACTCTGCTCGGTGGTGCTGAGGAATAGGACAAGAGGCAGAAACTGATGCACAGAAGGTTCCACCTGAATATGAGGAAGAGCTTCTTTACTATGAGGAGGTGACCAGGCACTGGAACAGATTGCCCAGAGAGGTCATGGAGTCTCCCTCACAGGAGATATTCCAGAACTGTCTGGATGCAATTCTGTGCAATGTGCTCTAGGACGACCCTGCTTGAGCAGGGAGGTTGGACCAGATGAGCCACTGTGGACTCTTCCAACCTGACCCATTCTGTAATTCTGTATGGTTTGCATAGCTAAGGCAGATGACATCTGAAGTTGGAAGGAAAAAGGCTTATTCAACTGGATTCTTTTCTAAAAGTAGCTCACTTTTACGACTTGATCTTAGAGGCATCTGTACTATTCAGCATCAACAGCTTCTAGATTACAGCTAAAAATGTTTTGTCAGTATTGGTGTAAAACAAACTTAGTTTGAAGTAAAAGGAGCTATTTCTTTCTTAAATTCACCACTGAGCCTGGAATGTGTCCCTTGGCAATTTTGAATCAGATATGATTTTAAAATGATTATGAACATTGGTTGAGTTGCATAAAATCAAGATCTAGTGTATTTTTAGGTTCTGAAATTTGCTTGTATTGCAGAGTTTTGCAATGCAACCTAAACAAGTTCACAGAATACAAACTAAACAATGTGTGTTTAAAAATTTGAAAAGTTGATAATTAAGAATCAGGCCTCTTAAAACTGTGATATTAATATTTAATATTCTGTCCTGTACTGATATCCATTTAGTTCGTACATTAACTGAGGTTAATTTAGCAAGAGATGGTAAGATGCTCGTAGGAACAGCAACGTGGTGTTTTTAAAATACCTGGCTCTGCAGTGAGGTGAGAACCATTATAATTGTGTGATTAGTGAATCACTGAAGCATTACTGTGGGGAGACTGATAGTTCCAATTTATTTGTATAGTGCCACTAGTTGAAAATATGACGTTAAGAATGCATGGGCTATAATTTTTGTGTCCTGCTAACTGTACTGCTATAGTTACACAGGGGTAGGAATGGGATAAGTCTAGGAAAATTTTAGTCTTGAGGAAACTCACAGAGGTGTTGAGTAATAATAAATTATTTTGAGGTTATGTGATTCATAGGCCAGAGCTCCACCAAAATTTTACATAAACCCTTTATAGTTACCTCCAGGCTCCTCGGAGCTGTTGCTAGAGCAGGCAGTGACATGGGGCTGTGTGTGCCTACCTGAGTGCTTTGATTTGTTCCTGTATTAGAGAGTGAAGGGCACCAGAGTTGAGTATGATTTTGTAGATACACTTCATTTCAAAAACTAGAGAGACACAACAGGCTAAAATGTTTATGCTGAAAAGAAAAAAGGCTGTTGCTTCTCTGTCCAGCGTAAGTAGCTTTCTAACACTATGAGCTTGTGACTGTTTTAAGGGAAACACTTTTCAGAGATGTATTTCTGCCTTACCACCCATTACCACCATCATAAAGTTCTCTACATAGCAGGGATACTTTTTAGACAACCTTCTGAAACTGTTGGATCTTTTGGTACACAAGTGTAAGTTCTTCACTCCTAATAGAATAAGTCCAAAAATAAAAGGCACGATGACTTTTGGTGCATTTTTGGAATTGTGCACTATTTTTGTTGTGCTGGAACGCTATCCCAGGCTTTTTAAGTAGGTATCCTTTTTAAAGGCTAGTTCTGGTACCAAATGTGTTTTGTGGCCCACGTTGCATCATTTTTTAAATTCAGTTTGAAGTCCACTGGAACTAATCTGTGGCTTTTGAGTTACTGTTACTATACATGAACTTAAAATTGAGTGCTACATGATGATTTTCTACCAGAATGGAAGCAGACTAAAGCAGAGAATGCAACTAATAAAATTTTTCAAAAATGTATTTTCCATACTGCAAATAGAAGGCAGACACTTTTAGTATTGTGCCACTGTGGCATTTCTAAATTTACAGAATTGAAATGTGTGTCTAGGCATGTCTGTATTTTTTTTTTTTTTGAAAGTCATTTTCAAGCTGAAGTCCCAATAAAGCAAAGGATCATTGAGCCAGCTTAGGATCTTCACTGTTCCAGATTCATGTTCACATAGTAAAGGCAGCATCCCTACTCATAAGGGTGAGGTTTAAGAACTGTGCACAGTAGATGCAAATTATCTTTATGATTTTGTGCAGGAATTAGAACTGTTATTACCTGGTCCACTTGTCCAATCAGATTGTAGTGTTTTCAGAAGAAGTTCTGTCCTTGTACTGTGTGTTTCTAAACAGGGCCCTTTTCACTGTTCCATGCACCAGTATCCTAATTATTTGCCAACTATACACTAGGGAACTGTGCCCTGCCTTTTAGTTACAAAATTTCCTGTTCTAGAGCTTTATTAATTTCTTCTGTTCATTAGAATTGCTGCATTTACAGTAGGTGTTGTGATTTTTTTTTTTTAACTAAAGCCATGTACTTAGCTCCAGATTCTCAGGACTTCTGAAATAAGCTGATACTCTTATTTACCTGGCAGTAGTGAAGTACAGTGGGCTTTCATATCCAAAGTAGTATCTTAAAATGCCTTGTGTGCTGGGCTAGATAATTTGTCAGTGAGGTAGCTCTAAGCCATGGTGTATATTTGGCAGTAGTGCATGGGATTTCAATATTATCACAAATACAGTTTTTTGACCTTTTTTACCTAAAATGTTTATACTGAAGAGAAAAAAGGCTTTTGCTTCTCTGTCCAGTGTAGGTAGCTTTTACTTGAGAATACTGGCTGGAAAGGATTGCAACCAGTGATTTCTAGGAACAGTTATGACAAGTTCCTGTTCAAACTTAACTGTGGGAACAAAGCAAGAGAACTGTAGCCTACTATCCTGGTCTTGTAAGGCTTTTAATGCAGTGAATTCTCTGGCTTTAAGAGTTAAAAATACAGTGTTGAGACACTTTCAGAGAAGTTGGTTAAGCATGAAGTGTCAGTATCCTGTGGCTCCTGGGCTTGGAGGTAGTTGTAGGATACAGATGTGGAGGTGACAGTGAGCAGTGATTGCTAGTCAAATCAGGAGTCTGCTTTATTCTTTTCCCCACAGCTTATCTCCTGCCAATGAGCAGGTGCTTCTTTAACTTTAGGAAGAAGCAATTAGTATGAATGTATCATTCAAAATACAGATGCACCTTGTGTGTATAGCAACTTTAATCATGTCTGGGAATTTTTTGGTGTGTTTGGCTTTTTGTTTTTTATTAATGCCTCAGAAGTTTTTTGAGGGTAGGTGGTAAATTGGGGAGGAAAAGAGTTTCTGAATTGTGATCAGTCAGGTTGCAGCAAGCAGGCCTGTATAAATTCAATGCTGTTATTGTTTTAACAGCATGTTTGTAAAATCTGAGCATACATCCTTATCTGTTGCAAGTCATGAATTCATTTGATTTGGAGAAATTTAAGAATCGTGGGACTTGGGTTGTTTACGCATCTTCATCACAAAGGGTGAAGACCAATTGGTTAAGCTATTTCAGTGACTTAGATCTCTCAAGTAGCTGAGAGAGGAGTTTTGATTTTGGATGATGATGGGTCAGTCGAGTTCAAAAGGTATTGGGTTCAAAACGTACAGTGGTTGTTTTTGATGAGCAGAGAAGACAACGAGGCCTGTCCCAGTCTGCACAGCGCCTCATGAGCTAACTCTGGCTCACTGGGAGCTTTCATCTGCTTCCACTGCTTGTATTGCAGTAATGCTGTTTACTCTGTTAGGATACTGATCTGGTGCAGAGCTTATTCTGCAGGATTTATCAATTTAATTCTTGGTGGAATTATCAATTGTCCAGAATTAATGGCTATGAAAATACTGAAATTGGTGAAGGTA